CGATCTAGAACCTGGTTACATTGCCCAATGAACTTGTCGGGTGACATGTCGATGACGCGATGGGCACTCTGACCGGTTATATCAAACCAGCCCCTTGAAGGCGGAAGAGAAGGAGGAAGAGAGTCTTGGGCTGGCGGGGAGAAAGCGAAGTGTGCTGGTCTCCCTGACCAACTGCTCCCAACCAAACAACTGGTTGAGAGAGCCGCTCAATTAGTTAGTACTATCTCTAATATCATACTTTTCGATTATCATATGCAGTCTACTTGATACACTCACCCTCCCCAAATAGAATAGCATTCCATACTCGATGAAGCTTGTCCTCAATTTCTTGTCGCTTCTTGTCGCTTATCGCCCTGATGTCCTTTGTCCTTGGCGTCGCCGGTCGAGCTCCTTTGCCCCTCGCACTTGTAAACTCGCGCTGTTCCGGTCCTTCACCTGCCGCTACCTGTTGTCGCTCGCTCCGTCCGCATAGAATCCCTCATCTGGTTGCCATGGTTCGTTCTACACCTGTTGCTGCGCGCGTGACTGATCACATGACAGCGCGCCAACTCCAACGCCACTTGAATCTTGCTCATCGTCAAGCTGCCGCTGCTGAACGTCCCTACACCGTGTGGTCCATCGTCGATCGCCGTGGCGCCTTAGGTGCCTACATATACGGCGTGGTTTGGGCTGGGTATACCGATTTCGCTAGTCGTACCTAGGAGCCACGTGAGTGGCTACTTGCGGAGCTCGCCGACTTCAGCGTAGCGGTTCAACTGGTCGATGGCTGGAAAGACTCTGGAATCCGGATCACGGTCGCACGTTTCTGCCGTGAGCGAGACGTACCGCTCTCTATTGAAGCTGATGACCTGGGCCTCTGTGGCTTCGCTGCACTCGCGACGGCCTCGAGCGCGTTGGGTTTGCTGAACTCGTCCTCTCATGCTTTGATCGACGCGTTTTTGACTGGTGTGAATCAGCCTCACTATGGGTCGAGGGACACTGTGTGGCCCACACTGCTGAGGTTTGTGAAGTGGTCCAATAGCGTGCAGCCCGGATGGGTAACCCACAGATTGGTGAGGATATGCTACGTCGCAACCTCCACACCGACAGCATAACATGTCCAAACACGACTGCTCACTTGTTAGCCATGGACGTACCTGAGGGTGTGTACGTGTGCGCCGGTTATCACCCGTATCATTTGCGCTTGGGCCATTGCTTTCTCCTCGAGGTCACTGCGCATGGTGCTTTCGCCTCCGACGCGGACATTTGTTGCGGGTCTCTCCGCGTGTACGGCGTGTCCTGGTTGGCTGGCTCCCTCTTCATTCGCCGCGTGAAACTTCGGGAATGAGTGCAGGGTACACCAGGTGGTTGAAAAGTGCATAAATTCAAATATATCCATGATCCTTGTACTTGATTTTTGTATCCTTCTTCTTGCACTTGTAACTGCAGCTATAACCGAATCGTGAACCGTCGAAAACTGGGTCGTGGAGCGTACACCATTTTGTGTATACCGTTTTGAGTGTATACACTATACTCGATCGGCTTGTAGAGGTTCAGCGCTGGTGTCGGGTTGTCGGCGGGTTCATTGAAATACATTTTCGTCCTTGGGCACTTGACGTCTTTGTTTTCTTGATCTCTTGGGTGTCTTCGCTTTAAGCGCTTGAATCAGGCCGTCACTTGGTGTAAGTTCTCCAGCGGTTCCCACGTCACTTTCGCCTCACCCACCCACCGAATGAGGTACGGTACAGCTCCTTACGCTGGCGCTCGCCAAGGATTGCTTCTACGATCTGACCAACGCTGCCGTCGTGTAGAATTACATCCTGAGGTCGTGAGAGTCGTGTTGGAGACTTGTATGGCTTGAGTGATCCAGTGTTGACGACCGGATGTAGCTTGAGTCCGGGCGGTAAGTTGATCTCGTATGTGTGACGATGTACCTTGCGCACGACGGAGTAAGGTCCAATCCACTTGGGGCCGAGCTTACGCGAGTTTGGAAATCCCGTGTGCACTGCGTCCAAATGTTTGGTGCTGAGGTATACTTAATCGCCCACGTTGAACTCCTGCTCCTTGCGTCCCCGGTTGTACATGTCGGCCATTCGAGCTTGAGCATCTTCTAAAGCGTCCTGACACTGACGTAGTACCGCAGCTTGATGTTCTATGAACTGAACACCTTGACGACGTCCTCCGCGCAATCCTCGTCGACTTGATTCCGCGACAACGGAGAGTGGGTTCTGGGGACACGTAGCTAATGTTGGCCTCAAATGGGGGACATCTCGATGCTGGCGTTGACCGCTAAGTTGATGGCAAACTCTGCGTTTGCAAGATGTACATCCTAGTCATCTTGTCGTGGAGATACGAAGCAGCGAAGATACTCTGAAGAGTTTGGTTCGTTCTCTCCGTTTGACCATCACCTTGAACTGGATACGCTACCGTCATCTTGAGCTTGGTTCCCACATTGTCGAAGACTTGACTCCCGAATCCAGAGACAAACTTGGTATGTCGATCTGACACGATATCCTGTGGCATACCGTGCAGCTTCCAGATGTTGTCGATGAACAGAGTCGCAACCTCTTGCGCAAAAACTGTCTCCGTCGCTGTGATGTAGTGTGAACGCTTGGTCAGCCGATCCACAACAACCCAAATCGAGTTCTTCCCGTTCTTGGCATCCTGTTGTCATGGTCGATGCGCCATCCTACCGGTTTCCGCACACATAAAGTTGGCGCCGCGTGAGGGCTGATGCTCGGTCGGGTCAGTCCCATCGGGATCATCTCTCGTACCCACTTGTTGATTTCCCCCTTCTACTCTGGCGAGAGACGCTACTGCTGTCGATACATATCTTGAATCTTTCACGTCGATACGATGTTCAATGTCGCGCCCCATTGGTAGCCCATCGGGCAACTCCGGCTTGAACACAGTACCCTTGTACTCGACGAGAACGGGATCTGGTTTATCCTGGAACGTCTCCCAGTCCGTATGCAGGAACCGCTTCGCTTTTTCTGATCCAACGTTACCAGGTCCATCGTTCCTCCTGACATCTCGTTCAATCTCCTATATGATATCGTTAGTCAATACAATCATGAAATCGTGTCCCGGTCGGTTCTTCGCAGACAACCGTAGGAATTTCCGTAGCTTCTTTCTTGTTATGTACTCGGTCGCAACTCCTTCCGAGTCAATAACTCCAATAGTAAACGTTGTCTCTGCGCTGGCGTTCTTCTTTTCTTGCCTCGAGAGAGTCCCCACGTCCTCAGACATTCTTTCAACGCTTTCCACTTTGCCCTCCAACTGTGTTTCTGGCACGGCGGCTCGACAGGAATCACGGCCTATCACGGAAGCTCTTTCACAATCCACAGCAACGTGAAGTCCAGAGCCATTAACCG